CTCTATTTAATATATCTGTTTTTTTGCCAATGCTTTGCAAAGAGCAACGGGCTTTTTCTCCGTGCAGTGGCTCTGGCACAGTTGGGGACTGTGTTGTATTTGATGTGAGAATAAGGGGCAAAACACTTTTATCTTAAAAAAAATAAACTAACCTCAAAAAAGATGACCTTCTAAACCTGAGGTTACAACCCCACCACTCATTACCCCCTTGCAAACCTGTTTTCCTCACCCAACTGATTCCTACCTTGCCCATTGAGCTAAAATTTGCTTTTTCCCCCCCAAAAATAAAATTAAACGTCTTGCTGCAAGAGAAGTTTTAATGAGGTTGCAGGAACTGAACTGAAATCTCAGTGCTTGAGTTAAAAGGGATTTTAAAATTTTTTTTCCCCAGCTCTTCATCCAAACACTTTTCCTGGATGAATTAAACATCAGGCCAGCAGGTCCCTGGGATTCCCCTGGGCTTCAGCTGAATAAATCATTCTGGCAACGCAGGAAGAGCATCCAGAGGTGCTTGTCCAGGGCTCTCTCCCTGCCCTGATATTCCCTGTGTGCATGTTTTTCCCAGCACAGATGGTTTCACTGCAAGATTGAAGCCTGCGACACTGAGGTATTAAAGACATTTTAAAAAGCATTGCACAGACAATAAAACCTGCCAGGGAGGTGCCACTCATTTCCAAAATGCCATTTATTGTTCTTTTTAAGAAGCTCCTGCAATTAAATTAGGGCATTTCAGAAAAAATATTTGCATGGGGGCATTTTGGCTGATCTGCCCTCAGGGAGCAGCATAGCAGAAATTGATGGTTTTTTTCCCAAATTCCTAAGGTGTGGGGGTTTGGAAGAGCTCACAGGTCAACAGGGACAGCAAGTTGCCCTTATAAATCCATTTCTACCCCAAATTGTTGCCTTATTGCAAGAAAGCAGCCATGGGGAGAAACTCTGCATACTTAATTGCAATTGCAAAAAAAAAGGAATAAAACCAGAGTAAAGAGCTAAAAAATAGCTCAAAATCCGTAAAGCAAGGGAAAAAATGAGTCTTCCATATGAGGGCTGTGATTGCTGTACCAGACAGGTGACGCCGGTGATCCCAGATCCAGAACATAATAGTAATAATATGTATCACAGCCTATCACATCATATAGCATATATAATATAATATAAAATAAATTTTATATATTATAATATTATATAATATAGCAATAATATAAGCATTACTATAATTTGTTAGGTACCCCAAAGGTGCACAGCAGTTGAATTTAATTAATGTTTCTGGCTAATTAAAAATGTAGGATACTCCAAGGGCTGAATTTATGGATAAATAGGGGTTTTGCTTGCTGCAGCAGTGCGAAATATTGAGTAAAACGGAAATTTGAGATGAGAAGATCTTACCTGGGCGTTGGGGATCTGCAGGGCACCGGGGGCAATGGCTTGAGCTAGGACCTGGCCCTGTGATGTCACCATCGTCACAGGCTGGTACAAGGCTCCACCTATGGAAAAAAGGCTTGTGGGGGTACCAAACCCCCAAATTTCTGTCCACCCTCAGCATCTTCTCTGTGATCCCTACCTGGCACGGCGGGTGAGCCGCTGCTGGCACTCATGGCCAAGTTGCCCGGTGGCAGCGCGGCTGCTGGCACCACTATGCCCGGCGGAGGGTTGGAAGCAGGTGGCAGTGGTGCAGGTGAGCTCTGCAGCATCTCCTGTGGAAAAAACCACTGAAACAGTGAATTTTAACATCCAGCAGGAGAACATGAGGTTTTAATTTTCCCCCCTCCAACAAATATGCCCCGTTGCTTTTTTTTTTTTTTTCTCTAGGTGCTCAACAAGCAAAACAGCAGAAAGGGGATTTTTCAGTTTACTGCAATTGAAAGAAAAGGTGGAAAAATAAGGATTTATGCTTTGCAAATCTCCCACTTAGCATCTTCCCCAAACTCGTCTTCTTTGTGCAGCCACTATTTCCCATAAGGAAAAAGGAGAGAAAAAAAGAGTGTGATAGAGAAGTAGGATTTTTTTCAGTCTTCTTTTATTCTATAAATTTATATTTTTCTTGTGCTTTGACTGAAATTGGATGATGCTAAAAGCTGGGGCAAGCACCACAGTTTTCCCTTGCCAGAATAATAGTAAAATAATGAAAATAATAATAATACAATCCAATTTTATGTCATTCCTTGCAGCTTTAAGCCAAATTCTTGCAAAAGTGGACTTTTATTTTTAGCTGGGAATTGTAATCTTAATATCAGTCCCGGCTCTGGAGTGGCATTGGCACATTAGAAGCTATTGGGAAAAGCCCAAATTTGATGATTATTTGAGTATTTAATGCAACATTTTGGGAAGGGAAGGGAAGGGAAGGGAAGGGAAGGGTGCTGTGATTGAGGATATCGGGGACTTCAGGGTGAGGTAGCACTATCTCCCAGATGGGTAGAATTTTTGTGCATTATGCCAATAATATTTAGGAAAATATCATTTCGAATAAGATGAGGATAACTATATTATCTCTGATTTGCCCAGTTGCAATAGAAATAAAACTATAAACATTTCTTGCAATGAAATTATTTTTTCCCCTTTTCGACCCATTTTCCCATTCTGCGTCACTTCTATGGTATCTCAACTGCTGAATAAAATGCCAACAAAGGAGATTTTTTTCGCCTTTATATTCCATTTCCCTTCATTATGATGCATTTCTTCAATAAACCTATTTCTTGGCTTAGGAAAAGAGGATTTGTCTGAAATAGTGACATGCAACGACACTGGAAAACGTGACCACACATATGTGGTCACTGGAAAAGCCACAGCTCTTCTTTTCCCTGCAATGAAACTATAGCGATGGTAATTTGAATTAATCAATTAATTTTACATCAAGAGATAATGTAGGTGCATCATTCAGTGGGGAGTTAGGGTACCTTTGTGTCCATGTTGATGCATTTCCCATAGTTGGGAGGAAAATGGCATTTTTGATCCTTTTTTTCTTTGGCTTTTTACCAATTATATTCATGCTTCCATCAGCTTTTTCCCCATCACTCACCACTGCTTTGCCTGCGCAATGGTTCTGAATAAACTCTAATTTCCCTATATGCTTTTGCTATTAAAATCCCTTGCTGCATTTTCCCCTCCCATGATGCCCAACTCAAACCATTGTAATCGCTGCCTCTGCTGTGTGTTACTTCTGTCCTCTCTGTTGATGATCTGAATATTATTAGTCTGGAAATTTTGCTGCAATTTCCATGAATTTTTGCTTCAACTTACATTCTTTTCCATAGCTAAATTATTCTTTAAAAAATGCAAACATGACTATAAAATAATTGTACTCTTTAAAATATCTTTTCCTCATCTCCAGCCTTTGGGGGAAAATGGTTTTCAGTTTGAAAAATGATGATTTCTCAGCATACAGAAAGCAAAAATTGTTTGCTTTTATATGCACTTGGACTTGGATTTTGCTAAGCATCGGCTAACAAACACAGTGGAAATCACAGAATCACAGGATGATATGGGGTTGGAAGGGACCTCTGGGGATCATCTAGTCCAACCCCCGCCACAGCAGGTCCAACTACAGCAGGTTGCACAGGAACGTGTCCAGGTGGGGTTTGAATGCCTCCAGAGACGAAGACTCCACCACCTCCCTGGGCAGCCTCTGCCAGGGCTCTGCCACCCTCACAGGAAAAAAGTTCCTCCTCATATTTAGATGGAACTTCTTATGGTCAAGTTTGTGGCCATTCCCTCTTGTCCTGTCACTGGGCACCACTGAAAAAAGACCAGCCCCATCTTCCTGACACCCCCTTTTTAAGTATTTATAGCCATTGATCAGATCCCCCCTCAGTCTTCTCCAGACTAAAAAGACCCAAGTCCCTCAGCCTCTCCTCATAAGAGAGATGTTTTAGTCACCTCATCATCTTTGTTGCCCTTTGCTGTCCCCTCTCCAGCAGTTGCTTGCCTTTCTGGAACTGGGGAGCCCAGAACTGGTCCCAGTGCTCCAGATGGGGCCTCACTAGGGCAGAGCAGAGGGGGAGGATGACCTCCCTCCACCTGCTGGTCACACTCTTCTTGATGCACCCCAGGATGCCACTGGCCTTCTTGGTCACAAGGGCCCATTGCTGGTTCATGGTCAACTTGTTGTCCACCAGGACTCCTAGGTCTTTCTCCTCAGAGCTGCTTTCCAGCAGGTCAGCCCCAACCTGTACTGGTACAGGGGGTTATTCCTCCCCAGGTGTAGCACTTTACATTTGCCCTCGTTAAATTCCATCAGGTTCCTCTCTGTCTAACTCTTCAGCGTGTCCAGGTCTTGCTGCATGGTGGCACAGCCTTCTGGTGTGTCAGCCACCCCTCCCAGTTTTGCATCATCAGCAAACTCTATCCCTTCATCCAGGTCATTGATGAATATATTGAAGAGGACTGGACCCAGTACTGACTCCTGGGGAACACCACTTGTTAAGGATCTCCAACTAGATTGTGTGCCACTAATCACAACCCTCTGAGCTCTGTCTTTCAGCCAGTTTTCAATCCACCTCACTGTCCTTTCATCTAACCCACACTTCCTAAAGCTTACCTATGAGGATGCTGTGGGAAACAGCGTCAAAAGCCTTGCTGAAGTCAAGGTAGACAACATCCATTACCCTCCCCTCATCTATTCAACCAGTCATGCCATCGTAGAAGGCTATCAGGTTAGTCAGACATGATGTCCCCTTGGTGAATCCATGTTGACTACTTCTGATAGCTTTCTTTTCCTCCAGATGCTTTGAGATGATGCCCAGAATGAGCCATTCCATCATCTTTCCAGGGATGGAGGTGAGGCTGACTGGCCTGTAGTTTACCCGGTCCAGTCATCAGGCACCTCACCTGTTCTCCAGGACCTTTCAAAAATGATGGAGAGTAGCCCAGCAATGACTTCTGCCAGCTTCCTCAGCACTCGCGGGTGCATCTCATCAGGACCCATGGTCTTGCAAATATCCAGTTTACTTAACTGTTCTCTAACTTGATCTTCCTCAACGAAGGAAAAGTCTTCCTTCATCCAGACTTTCTCTCCAAAGCCTGGGACTCCTGAGGGCTGGCCTGAGCAGTAAAAACTGAAGCAAAGAAGGCATCCAGTAACTCCACCTTCTCTGCATCCTCTGTCACCATGGCACGCATCTCATTCAACAGCAGGCCCACATTTTCTCTAGTTTTCCTTTTGCCCCAATATACTTGAAGAAACCCTTCTTGTTGACTTTGACATCCCTTGCCAGGTTTAATTCCAAGGAGGCCTTGGCTTTTCTCATTTAATCCCTGCATACTCTAACAGCATTCCTGTAATCTTCCAAAGTGGTCAGTCCCTTCTTCCATGTACTGCAAACCTCCTTATTCCACTTGAGCTTTTTCAGAAGCTCCCTGCTCAACCATGCAGGTCTCCTGCTTCCCTTGCCTGATTTTTTGCTCTTAGGGATGAAATTCTGTGAAATTAGGGATGCAAGCAGTGAAATAGGGAATTAGTGAAATAGCTCTTAGGGATGCAATTCTGTGAAATATTCATATTAAACCGAATGTGGTCTCTGGAGAACCTCAAAAAGCAGTCAGATACGGCTAGGGGCGACCAGAGGCATGGACCAGCCTGGGGACCTCCAGCTTTCCTCTCTTGTCTTGTTTTCCCATGATTCTTCCAAAAGAAGGGGATCCAGAAGACCATTTTTAGAAGTGCACTGGGAAGAAATAGTTGAGGATATTGGAAAATGGGAAAATGAAACTGCTATTTCCAGATACACTGGTCAAAGCCACTCTCAACAGCATTTTATGATGACAAAAATTGCATTTTTTTTGGTGGCATAGAGGAAACTGTTCCAAAACACCAGCTCAGTGTTGTCCAAAAAGGTAGAATATCAGTAATTATTAGAAAAAGATATGAAAGAAATTCACGGTGTTTCTGCAACAGCACTGTGAAACCAAGGGGACACAATGGAAGTGGAGGCTCTGCCTTAAAATAAATATAGATATCTCCAAGAAGATTTAAAAAATGTATTTTGCATACTAATTGCCTTGGATCACAAATGCCAGCCAAATTATATTACACTAGCGATTTTGCTGCAATGGAAAATGTTTTATATTTTAGGACTCGAAGAAGTTTAAATGTTTCCGGCAATTTTGAAACTTGACTGTAAAAAATGCATCACTAGGTGTCTCTGCAGATCCACATCTCAGCACTGACCTTCTGTGGCTCTATGGCAAACACAGCTTCTCTGAATTAAAAGTCACTTTAAGAAAAAAAAAACCTGGTACATATTGCATTGCATAAAACCCCCTTCTTACAATAAGGCAAGTGTCAAAAACCAGGTGTAAATAAGTGCTAAAATTCAGTACTGCTTGAGCTGATCTCCTCCTCCTTGTGCTTCATGATACAGCAATTTATTTTTCTGTGGCATAAATGCATAAAAAATTCTGTTTCATCCTAACTTTGTGACATTTGTGCTTGAGAAAAGCTGGGGAAAATTGGGTTTAGTTGGAGAAAAAAAACACATGAGTTTGCCAAGAAAGAGTTGGCCAAACTCAAACTCACGTAAGCATATTTGTAAGGCTCCTCCATGGATGGATGAGCGGATGGATGGAGAAGAGAAAAAGCTGGCTTTAAATAACAGAAAAATCCAGGCTTGTCCACAGGGCAAACCTGGATAAATTCAGCTCTATACAGAGAAGTACTGTCAAGCCCACCCAACTGGCAGCCTCCAACCACCAACAAGATGGAGAAGGAATTTGAGAAGAAGAAATGCTGTCCTAAAAATGCCCATTGCCAATCTGCTGCAATTCTCACTCAAAATGAGAGCTGAAAACTGCAATATTTGATGTAATTCAATCTAATTTAAATGTCCCTGGCAGTGTTGTGATTCCAAATGTGATTGACGTTGTGGTGGTTTTTTTCTTGCAAGTGAAGTCAACTGGAGAGCAGCGAGGACCACTTTGATGTTGAAGGAAAGGTGAACTGATTAAGTGTTGGGTTAAATTGACTTCTTCTCCCCCCATATGCAACAAGCACGTCCCCTCTCCTATCCTTGTCTGAAAAACTCAAAAAATATGCATTAAATGAAGGGAAGGAGGTAAAAAGGGTCCAGTAAGGAGTGAAGGGAGAGGAATGAAGCGAAGTGATAAACCACAAAGAAAAATGGAAGACGGGGAACAGCTTGGTGAACTTGCAGACCAAAGAAGCCAAAACTCCTCCACAAAACAAAGCGAAGCACAAAATGAGAAAGCAATGGAGAAAACCATGTAGAAAAATGTCTGTAAGGTAACAAAGATTCAAGGACAGCTCACCACACAGGAAAAAACCCAACTTTTCACCCAAACTTGGCCAATTCCAGCAGTCATCTCTAGACTTGGCAACATTAGAAGATTTCACCAAAAGTCGAAACACTTGTTTGGGTGCTCTCTCACCACCTCCAGGCATTTTTTCATTTCCAGAATCTTACATTTTTCATCTTAGAAAGCACAAATAACACCAAGCCAAGGGCCGTGGATACACAGGGAAATCCAACCATGATTCTTCTGTGATGACATTTTGACAGCTTTGGACATTGTTTTCTTAGTTTTGGTTGACATCCTTGTTCTTGCATATCCATAGTTTTTTAAGCAGGCTGTCTCATGGTAAAAAAGTTTACAAATAATTGAACTATTTTGCTTTCATGACCAACCTGGTGTATCTGCTTATAAAATGATCAATGCCCCTCCCATACCCTGAGAAACCTCGTTCACTGATATTAATCACATTTCCATTATTTAGATTTTTTTAAATTCCTAAATTAGTGCCCCTTAGCTGTTTTATCTGTCCTCAGTGTAAGTTTAATAGGACAATAATTAATGAAATCATCCCACTTGCTGCTTTTCAAACATTGATCCCGTGGTTCTTCAGCATTCTGGAGTATCCCCAGCCTTTCAAACCCAACTGATGGATATAGAGTATTTCCACCCAGTTTTTTAAGTCTTATCCACGCAAACTCAAGTATACTCAATGAATTGACGCAATTGTCATTGCTTAGTTGGTCAATTAGAAAAAAAATTGCCATTGTATTATTATCCTCATCCAATGGCCACATGAGATGGTGGCTCCTTCTGGTCTATCACCGTTAATATTTTGGCTCCAGCTGAAAATGCCTTTGTTGCTGGGCCAGCATTTTCCCTCCAGTTGGGTTTTTCGTGGGTGCATTCCCATTTTAAATAAACAACTGTCTCCAAATCCTCACTTGAATTTCTCAACTTTCAAGTCTTGCCCAGGAGGGAAACATCAGCAGCTCCAGGTTTGCAGGAATCAGAGGCACTTGGTAACCTCTCCATGGGCCTGATTATTTTCCAAAGACTTGTGCTAATTTTCTGATACGATCCCCACCTCTTTGTGAGGCACTAAATCCTCATTACTTTTCCTGACCAATGCATTCTAATTAGATCAACACTTTAAAAAAAAAAAAGGAAAAGAGGAAAAAAAAATCACAATAGCCACAGGACGGCTTTCCATCTCATTAACTCCCTCACTTATTATTTTCATGAAAATTACTGATAAAAAACGTGCATCTCCATTTGCTGGGACCGGGAGCTTCATCGGCTCATATCTAACATCTCTCTCATCACCCGGGATGTGAGCGGTTGCCATGGCGACGCACAATAATAGAAACTAATAAATTACAAACGAGATGCTCGTTGAGCAATTATTGTTCTCTTTTATGCAAGTGTCTTGCTAATTTTGATCATAAGGAATGCTACCATAAAGCAGTGAAGGGATAATAAGTCCATTTCTATAGATTATTAGAAAATAGAGAGAGGACGGGTTTTTTTAGATAAATGATTAAGTGGTTTGGTGCTTTCAGGAAACCCAAATAAGAAATAAAACTTCTCGGGGGGCTTTTCCCTCCCCATGCTGTGCCGCAAGCATTGTGTTGGGAGCTTCAAACTCTGCACTTCTTAGCCACTTCCTGCTGAGTGGCTAAAAATGACCTTTTTTTTCCTTTCCACCACCCTACAAATGCACTATAAAGCCCCCTCCTTTTTGGGGGAGAATCCCAAGAGCTGCCTGGGTTATTCTGGGTTGGCTGCAGTTATTTATGGTGGGATTGTGCAATCCCAATGAGAGAGAAAAACCCCGAAGGGACATTGTCCTGGTTCGAGGTAAAACAGAACTAACTTTCTGTTCAGTAATTTTACTTCTCAGTTCTCTAACTCTTCTGAAGAACTCTTCTAACTCTCTGAAATTAACAGTGTATCGTGCAGAAAAATGTTCATTCTCAGAGTGATAAGACCAATGTTTATACTTCACACCACGGAATGGTGTGCAGAGAGGCTCTTGCTTATACTTATCACTGTAACCACTGCCGGCTCACTTTGTTCTTTGCCGTGCTGGAGGGTCGGAAACGGAAGAGTGTACAGGAGCCCTACCTGCAGGGAGGAGCGGACAGAAGAGGTGACCCAAAACTGACCAACAGGGTATTCCATCCCATCTGCCCCATGCTCAGTATAAAAGCTGAGGGATCAGAGGGATCAGTCCCTCTTTCTTCAATGGCCAACGTCCAAGGAGGACTCTGTCCATTCGCTTGCCTTTGATGCCGATCCTTGTGTTCCTGACTCTAGAGCTGGAATCCAGTTCCCATCCATCGCTGAGTCCAGTCTGGGACTTCCCCAGTGCCTGCTGGTGACATCATCCTGGGAGCTTGATATGGTTTTGTATATATCGTAACTACTTCATTATTTTCTTTTTCTTTTATTATTAATATTTCATTGAAGTAGTTTAGTTCCTTCTAAACTCGTAAATCTCTTTATCTCTTCTCCTTGGAGTGAGAAGTAGGGGGAGAGCATCTGTCCTCTGTAATTGGCCACTGGGGCCTAGGCCACAACAGACACGCAATATTGCATCAAGGAAGTTTTTTGGGATGCAACCAGCCAACTTTTATTCCCTACACTGCAAATGGGTAACTTTTTTTCCAAATACTAAGTTACAATCCCTTATTTTGCCTCAGAAGCCACCAAGGTGAGCTTGGTTTGGCCATTTCAGTCAATATTTCTGCAATTCTTGGGCATCTCCTTGTACTTTCGCACTGTGCTTATGGCACCAAATGTTCCCTTCTCACAGCTAAAACCCAAATTATGCCCCAAAAAAGGCAAGGTGGGAATGTTGATCATGCTGGGGGAGAACTGCAAGATGTGCCTGGGCAAAAAAAGGATCAGCAAAGCCAAAAAAAGATTATCTGAGACCCAAAAATCTACTGAGCTGCTTTGAAACAAAGACAAGAGGGAGAGAGGAAGAAGTGGAGAAAATCAAGGTCCCTTCCACCAACAAACAGTATTTTTTCATGAAAAAATGCAAATTTCGTGTCCATTTTCCCATGCGATTGCATGGCTTCTGCAACTCCTCCCCTCACTTTTCATTGCTGCCCTGTAAAAGTTTAGAAGTCCTCATCTATCCCTTTTACAGAGACACAAATGTTGTGGTTGCAGCTCTGCCCAACCCATGAAAAAAAAAATTAAAAAATAGAAAAAAAATCACTGAAGCTTCATTTATTGTGCCATATGAGCAAGATACGGGGGGGTGTGTGTGTGTGTGTGTGTTTGTAATTATTTTCCTTAACTGGGGATGGATTTTGATGAACTTCCAGGAGGCCACAAGAGTTGTAGAGCAACCCTCAAGCTTCTTTGGCCCAACTCACCTGTTGGGCAATCAATGGTGATTACAGCTGATTTTTAAGCCGTTACCTGGGGGTGGAGGCTGATGGAGGAGGGGTTGGGGGAGTAGGGCCCCCCCAGGTCATTCCTGAGTAGGTTGTCGCTGTGCATCTTGGTTTTGAGGCAGGTGATATAGCGGTTGCAAAAGTCCTTGCACAACTCATTGACCTTCTCCAGCTCCAGGAGGTGGATGCGCAGCACCTGGATCGCCTTCACCATCTATGCAAGGACACACAATGGCAAAGTTAAAATAATTTTTTTCTGGACACATCAGAAAAAATATTCTCACCCAAAATCTAACCTGGAACCAATCCCTACAGTACAATTAAATGCATTTCCTTTCTTGGCACATCAAAAAAAGCCCAAAAAATCAATATCCTCATCCAAAGAGTCCATCACTCTGCACCTCTGCATTTCTTTTCCCTCCCCATCAATCAAACCTCTAAAATCTCAAGAGGCAAAAATTCCCCCAGAATTGCCATTGCCTTAATGGGAAGTGCTCCCTGTGCCCCAAAAAAGTCCAAGCCAAAGTCCTGGATGTTGAAAAGTGTTTGGTTATTCTCCAGAGGCCACTTCTTCTAACAAGATTATGGGGCTGCAACTCTGCCGTAAGCTGTTGCCGGTGCAAAGCCTGGGCCTCATTAAAACATACCCCATAAATGTTAAAAAATTTACACATAAAACATTCCTCTCACCAAGCCGAAACCTTAAGTTTTACAGCCACTGTTTGAAATCTTGCATAATATATAAAATTTGAGCTATTCACTCCAGGGCAATAAATCCAGTTTTATGTAACAAAGCGTCTTTGCATTTCAAAGGCTGTTTTTAACTTGCAAATTTTAGTGGTCATCTTTACAAACTGCGAGTCGCCATGGTTGGGAAACATCCCGAAAAAATCCAGGGCCAAACTTGGGTGGTGGCTCCACAATGGAGAAAGTCAATTTTTGGTTGGCAAACAACAGGGATGATGGGTTGTGGCTAGAAAAAAATCCTTTTTTATTGATTTTTTTTTGCTTTTTTTCACTTTTTTCCTCCTTTTTTTCTTTCCTCCTCCATGGCTGGCGCAGGCAAAGCACAAGGTGGAGGCATTGTGCCCCGACTCTCTGCATCCTCCCAGAGCTCAACGGCCATGAAAGTCAATATTCAAGGGCAAAGGCAAGAAGACCTGACACATATATGTATAAAAAATAAATCTCTCAATTATCTCAGCTCATTTGCTTAGGGTCTCATTTTATGTCCCTGCTCCGCTGCGCCGTATATCTGTCCAGATAAAGAGTTACAGTCCGACGGTGTACGTGCGCGGGGTTGTAAAAAATACAGATGCTGAATTAATTGACTGTGTGGCACTCGGCAGCTGATTGAGTTGATAATGGTGAGATCTGACCTTTTTCTAATTTCTAATTATGTGCATCTCGGCGGTGAGGAATACATGACTCTTATTCTAATGATATCTAATGCTTCTGGCCTTTTCATCCCTGCTTTGCCATTGCCTATTTCTGGGGAATTGGTGGTGTTTAAAAAATAAAAAACCCTTCAAAAAGTAACCCCCAAAAAAGGACAACGTAAATAGGGAAAAAATGCCAGGTCAGGAACAGGTGGAAATGTTGAGTTTTGAGTATTGCAAGACATTTTAATCCAAAATTCCCTCCAGTTGGTACTTCCCACCTACAGGAGCGATCCTTCTTCAGCATCACATTAACCATCTCATGTGCCTTGATGGAGGCCAACCACACTGACTGGTTTTGGATGGCTTTTGAAGTTTTGGGCATTAAATTAGAATATACATACAGTTATGTCCTAAAAATAGGGAAAAAAATATATATGAATATAAACATATCCAGTGCTGTGAGGCCATCCATGGGATTGACGCATATCTCTGCAGTCAAATTTCACCTTGGCATCAAGAGTTGCTCCCAAGCAGGACATTTATGGCCATAAAAGCACGACTGGTGTGTGGTTTTTTGGCAGACCCACCCAAAACCCAGTGAAAATAGCTTCTGTGGACACATCTTCTGCACTAAAATTTGCTGCAGTTGTCTCACCTTGATATATGTAGGAATTTATTTTCCTCCCCCAAAACTTTAGATGTTTTTTTAGCTTCAGCTGGCTTCATCTCTCTCCTCTTGCTAAGTCATTGCACCCATTTTTATCTAATTTAATGCAATGGGGTTTTTTGGTGCACCTCAACATTCAATGCAAAATCAGTCCCAAAACTGGAATAATCCAAAATGTTGCTTTCCTGGCTGTTCATCCCAAAGCAATTTCTGGTCTTGGCTAAAAGACACTGATAAATGGGCTTTGCATAACCTGCAATTTTTTTTGAAAGCTTTCCACCAGCTGCTAAACCACTCTTGATTTAGGGATGTTGCAAAACTCTCCTCCATGAACTGAAACAGGCCACAAAAGAGGCAGGATTTTAATCTGTCTTGAAACCGTTCCTCACATTTTTAGGAACGTGGTCGTTTTTGCACTTGGATGAGTATCACTCCTTCTTCTTCCCTTAGTTGCAGGTTCTTGGGCAAGCTCACTGATATGGTATCTCCAATATTTGGAAAAAGCTGCCAGTGAATTGCCTGATTTTGCTTCTTTTCTGGGACGGACATCCCTCTGCGACACACCCCAGGGGGGACACCATCCCTTGGGGAAAGTGTTTTGCTCTTTGCATCATCAGAAGTGGGTTAAATTGCGTCTTTTGACCTTAAAAACTGCTTGTGGAGCTCTGGGAGGGTGCATACACCCACATGCTTGCCATGGAGACCACACATACAAGCTTTCTGAAGAAAGTAATGGGATTTGGGGATGTTTCCTGAGGTCCCCGCAAGACAAAAGCTCCATTCCGAGCAGTTTTCTGAGATGCCTTCCTGTAGTAACTTGTAGGGTAGGAAATTTGGGTTGCTATGACAGGGAAGCCACCAAAAATGGTCCAAAGTGTCCCAAACCACTGATCTGCATCATCCTTTTTGGAAAAAGCTCTTATTTCGCCTTTTTTCTAAGACAAGTGCAGAGCTTGCCATCACACTTGAAACAAGATGGTGCCAGACAAGAAAGCAGACACTATTTCATGTTGCACCAAAGAGCAGGACATCCTACAGAAATGGCAAGTTTCAGGGCACAAACCAGCTGCTGATCTTGATCATTTCCAGGAAGCACATTTACCCCATGGTGTTTGTGTGCCAAAACTAGCCAAAGATTGCACTGGGGTATGTTCTCAAAGGAGATCTTGTGGAAAAGGTTTCAGAGAAGGTCCTGGAGAAGGTCTCACAGAGAATATTGTCAAGATGGTCAACACTACAAAGGGAGCCCCACGACATTGCCCAAGATGGTAGATCTCCATAATTTGTTCCTCACCCCCTACCTTCTCCCCATCCCCCAAAAACCATCTGCCAAGCCCCAGCCGCCTCTACCAGGTTGTCCAGCTCAGGGTCATCACTGAAGAAGGGCTTGTGCTCCTGCTCCTGCTGGTGGACGAAGTTCTCGATGTCGACATCAAAGCTGGCAGAGGTGATGCACTCAGAGCCCTGTGTCGCCTGCTCGCACTTCTCAAAGAGGAGAGTCAGCAGTGGAAACAGAGGGTGCCTGCAGAGGACAAAGGAGACCCCCCATAATGCCCACTGTTTTACCTCCTATGTCCATTTTTGCCCCACACCATTCATCCAGTCCCTCCCAGCTTTCAAAAACCTGGTGGTGCAAACCTCACTCCCAAGCCAGCTGGAAGTGACAACAACAAAAAAGCTTAAAAATTGCAAAAGTCACCATCTTCTCCACCAGGCAATGACTTCTCCCAACATCTTGGTGCTTTCCATCATTGCACCAAAGCCAGCATTTCCAAAATGTTTTGCCGTGAGCTAAAAGGTTTGGCTTTGGTGTGGTTGTCTTGGAACCATCTTGCTGTCCTGGTGGCTTTGCATTTTGGGGATCAACATCAGCACCTCTTCATCGATGGTATTATTTTACCCCAAAAATGTTTCTTTTGGTTGGTGATGCCAGATGGGGATGAGCTGGTATTTCTATGTGCCCGCAGCATCTTGTGGACCAACCTTGCTATGGGTTGCTCCTCCAACAAGAGGTCTCTGCACCTCTGTCAAGCACATCCATGTCTGTCCATGAAGATGGGTCAAATCCCACTTCTTTCTTATCACAATATGACTCTTAGAAAGCAAAGATATGCAATTCTTCTCGCGAAACCATGATTTGCTCTAATGATTAGAAAACAAACTTGCAATTCTTGCAAATCCCCAATTTGTTTTAATGATGATGCCAAAGCAATGTAATTAAAAATGCAAATACACATACAACACCAAAGTACATGGAGAAGAAGGGGATGAAGACCACAAGCTATTTCAAACCTCAATCAGCCTCTCCAGCTGTGCAAATTAATAATGACTATTAAAAAAAAAAAAGTATTTACAGAGTCTTTCAGGTGAGAATGCAAAATGCTGCTCCACGGTTGGTCTCCCACAGCACTCCAGTTATCTCAGCGGATTGGGATTTGCTCCACCAATTTTTCACCAAAAGATGGTCCAGAGGATGATTATGAATCCCTTCCTGCTGGTCTTTTCCAAGTCAGAGTCAGGCGAAGGGGTTAAACCCCTCGGCTAAGTCTTCATTTGCAGCTGCTAATACCGCAGCATATTATAGTTTAATCTGTCCTGATCCGGGTTTAATGCAAGATTCGCTGAGGCTGGAGCGGAGAACCAAGGCAGAGGGAAATAATTTCATAATTTCGGCAGCCCCCAGGGCTTAGCCAAGGGATATGAAAGGCAAATTCCAGGCGCGGGCTGAATTATTGGGACTTAGGAAGTGGCGGCTCCGCGGCAGGTGCCCGCTGCCATTTCCAGAGCCACTCCATCCATTAGGAGCAACGGCACGGAATTACCCCAAGGACGGGGTTGGGTTGGGTTTTTTTGGGGGGTGGGAGGAAATTGCAGCCCCTGAGCAATTTGTAGCCCTTTTGCTTTGAGGGGTTGCATCAATCCAAGAGGGATTAAGAGAATTACTGGCATCACCCTGCACTTCTCAGTATTAATAATTGGGGCAGCGCTGCTATTGAACCCCCTGAATGTCTTGGAGCACTGGCAGGGAGGAGGAGGGGGAAGCACGTGGCTGAGAGGAGGATGGTTTGCTTTCAGTTGAAAATAAAATAAATAAAATAAAACAAAATAAAACAAAATAATTTAAAAATAAGGTAAACTTCATAGCTAAATAAGAAATAAAATGAAACAAAAAAACCCCAAACAAAGCAAAATAAACCAACCAAACAAAAAAAATATAAAATAAAATAATAATAAAATAAAAAAACAAGGGGGAGGTGCAAAACCCCCAAGGATGGGTTAAGGGAGAGCACTGAGGCCCCTGGCTGAGCACAGTGTTGAGAAGCAGTGAAATCTGGGGTTCTGCCACAAGCTGTATACTGAATTGTTGTTGCAACTTTTTTTCTTTTTGCATGCAAAAATTAAATGCCATATTCTTCATTTCCATCCTTCCAGTGGCATGAAAATCGAGAGCCAGAGCCCATCCTTGCTATGAAATTTAGAGGGGGGGAATCGACAGATATCTGGATGCACAGGGAAACAGGAGAATTTTACCCATCACAAGTATTATGGAGGCAGAAAGCCACCCCTCTGGCACAAGGAAGAGTTTTGGGGTGGAAAAATCAGTTTTTGCTGAATGTGGTTTTGCAAAAAACAACCTTTTTTTTTTTTTTTTTCTCGAGAATCCTCCAAATAAAAGGGCTGAACCCACCCTGACATTTTCCTGCAGGAGAGAGGTCGTTCACAGCCACCAATAAAAAGGATTTGACACGGGCTAATAAAGAGAAATTAATTCCTCTAATGGCCTAATTTTGCACCTCCAGCCTGCAAGCTGGTGGTTGGCAGCACTGTGGGCACATCACAACATACTTTTTTTTTTTACCCTTCTCCAAAAAATAAAATAAAATAGAAAATAAACTTAATACAAAGAAATCCATCTGTTTCCTACTTGGAAAAATCCAGTTTGAGGTGCTGGGGTGGTTTAAGCATTGGTTCCCGTGGGAGCATCATCTTCACTGGTCCAAAATCCGTCGGGAATTCCCAGCCCCACTGTTGATAAAGTGAATAAAATACTTTAGCTGGAAAAAAAATTGCAGCAGAGACATGATGCTGCTGGACCAGTCCCGGTGAAGATGCTCCCACGCCAAGCAGGGAGGGGGAAGATGAATTTTTTTCCTTTTTTTTTTCTTTTTTTTCTATTTTTTTTATGGGTGATAAACCTCCTGCTAGAGCATAAAACCCGGCAGGGCGACTTGTCTGGCGGTTCTTATATTTCCCATTGCATTTTCCCAGCGATTTCCCTCCAGGTTGATCGACCAATGCTTACAGCTGATGCCTTCTGCCTTGGCACAATTATTGAAAATTAACAAAAAATCATCATTTTGGGTGGGTGAAAGGAGGGCTAAAACCCCCCCTGTGTGCATTTGATAGCTCATGACATACACACAATTCATACTGACCACTTCAATGCAGCCAAAAAATGCTCATTGGCTGTGGTTTTAGAAATAAAAATATATTTGTGGGGTAGTTTGGACTGGTATCCAAAAATGAGCATCCAGGTTTGGGCAACCAAGTCCACGCATGGGACCAGCCAATAATTTCTTCCCCACTTTTCTGGGTGATAAATATCTCCAAAAAGATACTTCTGGCATTTTTCTGACCTTCAAATGAAGGCTGTAAAAACTCCAAAGGGTTTCTTTGGTTTTCTTTATCCCATGTATGCTGCAAAAATCCTCGCAGCAGTGCAAAGAAAAGTTGGGTTTTTTTCTTGAATGACCTCTTTTGCCTTGGAAAAACTATTTCCATCATTGCAGAAAATCTTGAGACCTGCTGTGAAAAATCCTTTGCGTTTTCCTGGGAAACTGGTGGGTTTATTCCACGCCTTCATCTGCCTTTCCAGACCTTTCAGACTCATTACATTTGAATATTTGGAGTCAAGATATTTTAATTCCTCCACTTCCAAGCTGCACTTTTTTGGTTCACAAGCCCCCGTGGTCCTGGCCATTAATGGTTAAGGTTAATTAAAATTAAGATTAATTTTTAACCTTAAACCTTAATCCTAATTATATTATACGTTACTGTTACATCATTACTGTATACAATATTGTAAATAATTACATATCACTTATATAATTACAGATTACTTACATAATTATACTATTTACATAATTATAATGTTACTTATTACAATTATATGATAACATTACTGCAGAAATATATATTATTATCTCAAAAGTAAAAAAAAAGGAGACCAGAGGGGGTCATCCATCCCACGCTTGTTGCTGTCTTCACCCTATATGGATGCATGAACCACACATTTCTGGTTCATCTGTGACTTTACTCCTTCTGGGTGACTTTTTGGCCCCAAATTCCACGGTTTTGCCAAAAAAAAAAAAAAGGCTAATTTGGTTTTTTGGGGGTGAATGTTATGGAGGGAGGAGAGATGCTGCAGAACGAGGTCCACGAAGGAGCTCCACCACCATGCACTATTATATGTAGTTATTGCTAAAAAGGAGTTAATTGCTAATCTCCCCATTCCTGAGTGCTAATTAATGCGTTAGAATAATAGCAATTAATAATGCATTATAACAGTGCAATGATTTGATGCATGACAATACATCAAGGGATTGATGCATCAACCAATGCATTAACGAATGCAGCGCTGGATCAACGCATGAATAACGCGTCATGATAATGAAACACTGTGTTCATTAGGGCAGCCATTAATGAATTAATGCACACTGCTATTAGCTTGCATCACCTGTAGACGGCTCGCTTGTCGGCCTCCAGTTGTGCCTGGGGGTCGGTGGCCGCGGTGGGTACCGGTGCGTTGGGGGCCGCCGCCGGTGTGGCGAGATGGACGGGCTGTGCCTTGGTGGGCTGCTGGGCTGTGGCCGTCATCTGGGAGAGGGGGGAAAAAAAACATAGGAAAGGGGAAAGGAAAAAAAAAGAAGGAAGAAAACACAAACAGGGTTTGTTGCACTTTGCCGCTGAGTTTTGCATCAAATTTGTAAAATTCAGGAGGAGGCAGCCCTGTGATGGGGCCGGGAGTGGGATGGCTTGAGGGGTGAAAACATGTTTATCTAGGAACAACAAGATTGGGTTTTCCCACTTTCCCCTTGCTTTTCCCACTTTTACTTGGGGAAAACACAGAAAAACAAATCCTGGCATTCTTATTGTCCCAATGTTGCACTTTTCTGCCAAGTTTTGCAGGCTTCTGCATTGGATTTTTAAAATTCAGGAGGCAGCCCCATGACGGGGCTGGGAGTGGGATGGGTTGAGGGCTGAAAATACCTTGAAACAGCAAGATTAGGTTTTCCCACTTTTCCTCCACTTTTTACTTGGTTAAAACACAGGGGAAAAACATAAAAATCCCAACATCCTTATTGCACCAGCAGCAAAGTGAAGGCGAGGGGTAATTTCCTAAGGGATGCTTTGCAGAAGTCCCAGATTAAATCAGCTGTGACGCTACTGTTTGCCAGAATTTTTTTTTTCAAAGCAGGTATTATTGTCTAGACACACAGGCATTTTAAACTTCCTTCCAAAATGACACGAGCCCCTTCCAACTCGCCAAGCCCAGGGCTGAGTCATTTCAGCCTGGCGAGAAGCCAGCCAACAACAAAAAAAAAATTATTGGGTTTTTTTTGCCCTTGCCCAAAACACCCATCTTTAGCCCTGATGCTGTGACAAGAATTGCAATATGCCAGGGCTGGAAAACTACATCTGCCGTGTGAGAAATCATGCTGCTTTTTTAAAAAAAAGTCAATTATTTTAGTTAAATATATGTGTTTCAGATGAGCAAATCACTGCACATCCTTCCAGCATCACCCCCAAAACTGCCATCCCCACGTGTACAGGATTGCACATATTTAGGGGCAATTTCCACTTAAAAATAACAATTGCACTAAAGAAATCAGAATTATTTGCTGGCGGGCTACAGACAGGTCCAACATATGCCATGCAACCCATTGCTTGATCTTCATAAGATTCAGTTAAAACAAAAAATTCAGGGAGAATTTCAATCTAATTGGGTTCAAATGCACCAGCAACACCTTCAAATCCCCCAAATCCAGTGGTCTTAGCTCAAAATCTCTGTGGAAAATTATTGTAAAGTGGATGTTTCACCTGCTCTGGGGTGGAAATGTTGTAAAAAATTAGCATTTGCCTGTTTTTACTGGTAGATCTTCAATCCTACCTTGAGCTTGGTAGCAAAAGGAAGCCTCTGCCTCTTGCTAAGTATCATATATAAAATGTATTTATTTGTCTAATATATATTCATTTCTGTGTTTAGTTATTATTACTTATATATAAGTAGATTATCTCTATATATTATTAGATAGAGAGATATGTATTATTAGATATTATATATATATATAGATTATCTCTATATATTATTTGTCTAACTAATGTAGTTCTGTGTTTATAGAAATAAAATGCTTTTATATATATAAATATGTATACATACACATATATATATAAAAATACATATGTGTATACAGGTACATGCCCACGGTCTTCTCCAGCTGAACCCACCCTTACACTCAGGTTCTTGTCATGAAGAAAGCAGATTTCTCACCTCCCTTAAAAGCAGCATAAACCCGAGTCAGGCCAAAACCTCCACACTTTTTGCTTTTAAAATATTTGACTTTAATATCTCCTACCTGACCTTTTCCTGCTGATATGGTGCTTTTTTTTTTTTTTTAAATCTCCTTTATTGTTCATAACTCCAAAGTTTGGCCCCGGCACCTGTAAATTCACCCGGTGTCATTTAATTTCTGCCTCTCTCAACCCAGAGTTTGATTTCCATTCCTCTTTCCTTCCTGGGTGCTAAATAAACTATTGAAAATCTGGGGTTCCTATCCCAGCACTTCGGATTTCTCTTCCCCCCACACCATTTTTTATCTAAAACCAAAATGCAAGCAGATTTTGGGATGCTCCAGGCACACCACTGAGGATCTCCCCATCCTCTTCCTCTTTTTTCCCTCTTTGTCTCCCTATTATGTCCTTTAAAATTACCTTTTTTGGTAGGAAAATGGCATTTCCCCCTTTTTATTTTCCTTTTTTATTTTTTTTTCCCCTCATCACACTCATTTACCGGGATGCCGAAGCCCCAAAACCCTGCCAAGTTCGCTGTTTCCAGCCAAGTCTGCAACTAATTGGGCTATTACCCAAAAAAAAAAGCCTCCTCTGTGGCTGTTTCAAAGCCATTACCTCACCTTGGACTAAAGAAAATAATAAAAAATAAATAAAAATAATCCCAAGTCAGCAGAAAAAGAAGCAAGAGGATGCTCAGATGTGAGTATTTGCAGCTGGATAGGGGGAGGAAGTAAAAAAATGCAGCCAAAAACGGCTTTACAGGGAGCAGGTGGGGATGGGAAAGGACGAAAGAGGCAGCAGGTTTCTGGCTCAGGAGCATGAGTGTCGGCAGTGGGGAATGGGAAAGTATGGGGGGAAAGAGGCTGGATTTGGGTATGAAAGTTGCAGGCATTGAAAAAAAATGTAGGCGGGGATTTTTGCTTGGGTATTTTATTTTATTTTTTTTTCAGAAAATGACCAAAAGGAGTTGCAGGAGGGAACTAAAAAGTTTAAAAAAAAAAAAACTTGAAAAAAAAGTTGAAAGAACGTTTACAGAAAATTATGTTAAAAATTGTAAAAAAACCATATATTTAAAAAGTTTTGAAATGATTTAAAATCTGTAAAATAGTTATGTACAATTTTGTAAAAATATGTAAAAATACATTAAAATGTAAAATAATTATGTTAAAAATAAGTTTAAAACAGGTAAAAATAAAATGTAAAAAAAAGGGAAAAAAATTTTAAATCACCATGTTTTTGCAAGACTCCTGAGTAATGTAGAGACTTTTGAGGTGTCACTTGCTCCATGATGCGCAACACCTCCCAGTTATATTCCTTTTTATATGATATTTCTGGTTTTTTTCACTTGTTTAGGAAGAAAATCCTTTGCTGGATTTAGCAGCTGCTCACCACGCAATAATCCCTCCTGCTTTAGGGTTTTTTTGAAGACTTTGGCCAAGTACAGCAACTCTAGAGAGCAACGATGGTGAAGGTCTTCAGGGCAAGAAAAATGGCCAAAATCAGCAATTTTTACCCTATTCCTTAGCATTTCACAGTGAAATTTCTGTACCACCATTGCACATGCTGAAAACAATAGTTTTGAGCCCCAAAACGTGCTGAGGACGGCAGGAGTAGGGAGGTTTCATTGATACTAGTGAAAAATCAACATTTCCACCCAATTTTTAATCTATGATTTTAAAAAAATATATTTTTAGAATTGAAAAATCATACATTTATAATTTTCCATTTTTGTCCCTCATTTAACCATCTAAAAAGCATTTTGGGGGAGGAAAAGCTGCTTTTATTGCTTTCTGTGCTGATAACGCTGAAGAATCAACTTCTCTGACTAATTTTTAACAGTTTTAAAAAAATATATAATAGGTAAATAAATAGATAAAAGTTTATGGTTTTTTTCATTTTTCTCCCTGATGTAAACAGGTAAAAATCACTTTTTTTGGGGGGGCAAAGCTGTTTGCATCACTTTTGGTGTTGACAATACCTATTTTTAAAATAACCTCTTTTTGTTAACTTTGATAATGAAATGGTTGAACTTTCCCGTGGCTTTTTCTTTTAATTTATTCTGGAAAAATATGCGGTTTTATGTAGATTCTTTCATTTTCAACAAGTAGAGTTGCTCAGCAAGCGTGATCTTGCTCGGTATAAACAGTGCTCCCTTTTGCAGTTCCAGGTGATTACTGAAGCTTTTTTTTTCATCCAAAAGGTAGCTTTTACTATCATTTTTGCTTCATTTTTGCACATTTCTGACAGTGAGGGTGATCCCTAGCACAGCCTCTGCAGTAAAATATTAATGCAAAGTTCCCCCAAACCCCTTTTTAAGCATTTTTCTCCCCAGAATGACCCCTTTGATGATGAGGAACTGGTTGTAGCTCTAATAATTGGTATTTTTTTATTTATCACTGATCCTCTCCATCTTTTTGTTGTCTTTGGGGAGAGGAAATTTGTGCAATTTGCTTTTCCAAACCCTAGAAATCCCAAATCTTCAGGTGAAAAGCTCAGAGCACTCAATGCATTGGGTCGAAAAAAGCAACTCTTGGCTGCAATTTTTTCTCCAAACTCACTAAACCAAAGAAAAACGCTTGAGCAACCCCCTCAATAGGGAAAAAAAAAGGAGGGGAGCAACGATGCTCCCCAGGGTCCCCAAAATTCAATGCATTAAAATGGGGAGCAGATAAGGGACAGAGATGGGGAAGGTAGGGGGGACATCTCTGTGCAATGCTGCAGAAAATCTCCGCTATTTTAAGAGTCCCTCAAATTGCCCATTCAAACTAAAACGGTGTCGCGACTCCCTGCTGCATAAGCAAGAAAGGCGGCATTTTTCGATGCAGGGAAGGAAAAAAAAAAAAATTGAAAAAGCTCCTCTCGGAGCGGAGCAGTGAAGCAAGCAAATGATGACACAGAAGTTGGAGGAGACATAAAAACCCTACCAAGGTGTCGTTTGTGACAAGTGACCTTTTCCCACCAAAGGAGACAAGTGGAAAGGAGACTCAGGTGGCTTCGGGTGGGGGGGCAGAAAAGTCGATTTATTTATTTCTGATTGCAGAGAGCAAGTTTGACTTTTTTTTTTTTTTTCTGGGAGGGGAGATATTTCTACTTTTGCAGACAAGATATGCAGGGGGGGAAATCTCAAAATTTCCTATACGAACCCCCGAAAAAGCTGCTTTGAGTGCAGAGCCAATTCAGCACTCTATTCAGATCATCCCCAGCTGGGACAGTGGAAACGTGATGTGAATTTGCCTCCCAAAAAATCACAGGATCAACTTCCAGGCATGAGACCGTCTCTGAAATCCAACCTCAACCCCCAGGTCCAGCCCATTGGGGTGCTCTAGTAGAGTTTCTCTTGGACAAAATCCTCTTCTTAAAATAATGTAACTCAGTAACGATGCTCGGAAAAGTTATTCAACCCCTTAGAGCAACATTTTAGATGAAGTCTTATTTTCCCTCTGCCACAGCTTGCCAAAAAATGCCATAAAAATAAATCAAAAGGCCATTCCTATGGCTAAACCCTCCCTGGTTTAGCCAGACATCTCATTTTTCCAACTCGTTAACGTCCTTGCTGCAAACACCCCACTGCGTTGGCTTTCCAAGAAGACACCACAAGCCCAAAATAAGCCAGAAAGGGGAAAAATCCTTATTGTTTGTCCCAGAATCCTGCAATCCTGGAGATTGTATCAAGGGGGGTATTAATTTCTGCCTCTGATATGAACGGTTTGAGGTAAAATACTTTGTAATGGTCATTATTTAAGAAGGCAGAGTAATTAATGTGGGAGTTGGGGTTGCAAGGGGTCTGGAGGAACCCATGGGTGCTGGTGGACACTCACCTGTGGTGTGTCTTGGTAAGGAGGAGGGGGCACTGTCTGGGTGGCCATCATCGTCAGAGCTGGTGCTGGGGAGACATGGTGCATCCTGGGTGGGAGTCACATTGAGAACCTGCGGGTGGGAGAAATGCTGCTGGATTAAGGGGAATCTGCCCCCCAGAAAACCCCTCATAAAGGAAAACCAAAGGGACAGAAAGGAGAGGTGACGTTCCTCGCATGGGCAAACCAGCACAGCGTGCCACCACCCAGTCCCTGGAAGAAACTCAAGATGATTTGATGACCCTTATTATAATTTGATGAGTATTTGAGATTTGTGATTTTGGATGAGGAATGCACTGGGGACAAAGTGAAGAGGGTTGCTGGCAAGGAGATCTTCCCTGAAGAAGGTTCACCCCCTTATGCCTATAACTGCAGTGCCTAAATGGGGATTTCCAGCCCCTTTCCAGTTAATTCTCTTTTTTGGAAGCAGGAAGACAAGTCATAAATGCCATTTTCTGAAATTATACACTAAAAAAACCCCAAACCACACCTCCCTGCCTTTGGCCACTATGGAGTCACATCTTCAAGCACTGCACACTCAATCTAGAAGGGACACAGAGTATCTGATGTTGAGTTGACTGACATAGTTGACTCCAACATTGCACTGACCCACCAAATTGACTCCTATGTTGAGCTGACCACCCCTATGGTCATTGAATGCATAGAAATGAGGAAAGAGGGTTCAAATCCTTGTTTGATTTGAACCGGAGAGCAAACCCTGATTTTGTACATCCCATACAGACATCTTAGAAGCCAGGAGGGATTCTGAGACATGACACCCTCAATCTCTCTTGAAGTTGCTCTGCTTTCTGTAAATGCACAGTTATCTGGGGAGGAAACTGGCTCCTTTTTTGGTATCTTCAGGAGTCGGGGTAAAAAGAGAGGCAGCAGGAAAGAACAAATTTTATAGAATCATAGAATTGTCTTGGCTGGAAGGAGCCTTTAACATCATCAAGTCCAACCATCAAACCAACACTGCCAAAACCACCACTAAACCAAGTCCCTTAGCATCACGTCCCCTCCCCTGGCATAACCTGAGGCTAATTTGTAGAGGAGTCCTTGGATAGATGCTGTCCCCAAGGATAGACCTGGTGGCAGATGTAACTAAAAAGCAACTCTTGGCCCCAGAATGCCTCTTCTCCTTTTATTTCACTGAAGCTTTGTGGTTGTTTCTGAAGAGAAGCTAATAATAATCCTTAAATCCTAAAAAAAAACCCACACCAAAACCTGTCCTGAGGCTCTGAGCTCTGTATTGAGCCAACTCACAAAGCCACCTGGCAAAATACCCCCAGAGCCTCCAAAAGTGCCTTTCTTCCTGCAATGACTCATTTCTGTAGAAGATGACATCTCTTGAAGGGTTCACCCCATTGCAATGCCCATCACTGCGCTGGGTTCCCCATTGGCTTCTCATCTGGAGAAGAGCTGTGATGCCATCCTATGAAGAAATGCAAAAAGTTATGTAGAGTCCTCTGATATTGTGAAGGGATCTTCCAAAAAGCAGCACCAGCGTCACTTTTACCATGAAATGGTGACATGTAGGAAGAAGCATTCTCACACAAGGTAGAGGAAGAGCGAAATCGGTGAGCTCAGTAAAAACCAAAGCACATTCGGGGTCTTGAGATCAGTCTCCACAGTTTTTTGGAGGAAGATTCACAATATTCTGGTCTTCTCTGTGAGGTCCACACTTGGGGGAAGATTCACAATATTCTGGTCTTCTCCATGAGGCTTCAGGCTTTACAGGAACCTCAGGAACCAGATGCACAAATGTGCCATGCCCACATGGAAAGTCGAGTGTGGCCTGCAATGGGCTGAGTGTCAACCACTCATTATTTTGCATGAGGAAATTAAAAAATAATTACTTTTCTCACACTTTGCATTAGTATGGGTGCCCTGTGAGTTGAGTATTAAAAGAACACATCCAAAATCCTGTGCATTGGGAAGGCAGACTGGGGTCCTTGCACAACACAGACCTCTTGCAGCCAGAAGGATACTGCATTTATGGGATTAAAAAAGATGTTTTTCTTCTTTTTTCCCCAGCAGCAAAATAGCAGGAGGCAAAATTATCTGCTTCTGAGTGAACTCACGGCCTAAAATCTTCAGCGTCCAATATCAGAACTCAGCTCACAGTTGCAGGCACATCCTCGAGGGGTAACACCACGGGGAAATCTCCCCACCAGAAATAGCTGCAGCTGGAGAAAAGCAGAATTCAGCACCATGACGGTCTGGACATCTCGGTGGGAAGCTAAAAAAAAGAAGGGATTGCTATTTTGGGGAAAAAAAAAACCAAACTTGGCATCTATTGTTCATGCCTCAAGCGAGCCTACCTCCAGCATGAGGCGATTTATTTTGGGGTGCAAGCTTTCTGGGTGAATATATTCCCAGAAGGTGGCAGTCCGGAGCCCAATTTAATTGCCAAGTATCATCTAACCTGCTGAAATCCAGCCGTTCATTGAGGCTTTATGGGCGTTGAGTCATTTGGAGAATAGGACTTATAGCCAAATGTTAATAAAAAAAAAAGGCACAAAAATGAGAGACAGCTGTTTCCAATAGTGGCATATTTATCTTGGGGAAAACAAATGCACTCGGGTGCAGTAAATATCTGGGGAAGCACCTGGTGCCCACGAGAAGAGCCGGACGGGTGTTTCATGTGGGAGCCCTTGGCTTTGTCCCCTCTTGGGACAAAGACGCAATGCTGTCAGTCCCATGAATTTATCAGCAGCCAGACTCCAGGAAGGGTGAAAGATGCTATTTTATGAATTAATCTTTTCTTTTTTTAATATATTTTTTTATTTTATGCACTAATCCTCTCATTTTTTTCCTGCCACCTCTCTAGTCAATTTAGCTGCGTGAGCTCTTGACCATAGGCATCCAGATGATGAAATGAGCAGAGCATTGCCAAACCCTGCCATTCCCTTGCAGATCAGCTTAAGGCAATGACCAAATCTTGGGTGAAGAGTGAATTTTGGGGGGCAAGGGGTCAAGGAGGGCAGGAATTGCAGCCAAGTCCTGAGGTGTTTACAGAGAGGAAAGAGGTGAGCAATAAAACCCATAAAGGCTTTTTCATTTCCGGAAGCAGCAGTACTTTAGGCTTTGGCAGTGACCTGAGATCAAAGTACTCTAAATTTCCTCATGAAATAAAATTATTTCAGCTATTGCTGAAATAATTGCCATTAAGTTTCCCCAACAGCTTGCATCTACCTAAAAGAATTGCAGGTTTATAAGCAGCTTTTTTGCCAGCAATATATTACCTCCTTTACCAAAAAAAATAGTTAAAGACTAGGTTGAGATGTTGATTTTTTTCAGCATGGTCACTGAAGCCTTAAAACATTTTTAAAAAAATTAAAATATTGCAGACTGTCATCCACCACCCCCCAGGTGACTATGATCTCCTTGATTAATAAAACAGACATAAAACGGTATTAGATGTAGAGCTGAATGAAAAAAAAATCACATTGTTGGACTCTATATTATTGTCTTCAGCAGATAATGTTAATATTAGCTTTGCAAGGTGCAACTCTTTTTTCCAAATCAATGGAAGATGGGGATTGTTTTTCCTGCCTCATTCAGCAACTTCTCCCCCACAGCAAAACACGCAATTGGTAACAGAGGATTCAACATGGAAAATCAGAAAATCAGCTTTTCAGGTATTTCCTCTTCTCTTACCCAAGTTTCAAAATTATTAGATATACTTGAGCATGATGTTCCGGCCACAGAAAGGTATTTTTCTGTATTAGGGGAAGACTGCCTTTTATGAAGGGCATTTTTTTCTTTTTTTTTTTGGTTAAGATTTGCAATGGTACTGTGTTAGTCATATTCCCTCTGTAGTGGGCTGCAAGCTTTTTATGCCACCATCCTCATGGAGGGCTTGTACCTGTGGAAGTTTATGATACATGCATTCATTATATGCATATATCTAAGTTCAAATGAAAAAATATAGCTGAGGAGGAAGGGAGAAGCACCTCCAGAGGACAATACATCTTGCTCTGAACCGGCAGTGAGGACAGGTTCACCCTCATCAGGTGATGTTGACTCTTCATTGGCCAAAGTGAATCGAGAGCAACCCTCTCACTCTCCAATGTCTCATTTCTATTTACCAATCTTCATCCTTTTTGCCTGTTTTTAACAACCCTAAGCTCACTGAAACCACAGTCGCTGCTATTAAATGGTCAAAAATAAGGAAAAAAAAGTGTTTTTCAAGACAGTTCTTGTTCTCGGTCATTTCTCGTGTTTAAGGTTGCTTCCAAGTGATGCCTCATCTGAGGATATCAGAAGTGATTGTGCTAGAAATAGATACCACAAGGCCACAAAATATTTGTAAGTTTTTAGAAATATTTGGAAGCCCAATTTCCTCTTTCCAAACCCAGGACGGTTTTTGCACTGGGAGCATCCTTTGCTCTCGGCCAAGATATTAGTTCCCTAAATTCTGACCTTTGTGCCCTTCCTGGCATCCAGTTATCGAGTTATTTCCCAATAAAAAAGGATCAATCAAGTCTGTGTACAACCATGAGCTAAAGCAGATGGAGATTCAGTATTTCTGCAGGATAGACCCTGGTCCAGAGCAAACCCATTTTCTATTTTTCTCCTAAAAAAGATCTTGGTCAATGCATAAGGACTGGTGTAAAAGGGAGAGGGAAATGATGTTCCAGCAGACACCAAAAAACTCTTGATAAACTCTTTGGCTCATCATTGGATGGGACATATCCCTTGGATGCAGGGAAGAACAGTATTTATTTGTTTAATATTTGCATTTATTTATTGAATATTTGCAAATCCTCCCACCAGCTCCAACTCCATAGAAAGGGGGGGACTGCTACAGTGAATTTCCATTGAGAGCAACAATATCACTAAATATTTCTCTCCTCTCTGAAGATACCCATCCCTAAAAGGCTCCAGGGATATCTCTGCAACATAAACACGAGAATAAAACCTGCAAGAGGCAGTCAGAGCTTTAGTAGACAAGGTTAATGTACCTTGAATGGCAGCATTAAACAACTTTGTTCTTTTTTTTTTAAGTGGAGAGCTGAGATACCTATATACCTTTTAAAGTGTTATTTTTATGGAGGGAGACCATTAAAGCACCTTCCCAAACAAACTGGCACTGGGAAACATCAAAGAAGCTTCTTCAAAGTAACCTGAAAATACTTGCATTTTGTGCAATCCAGCCCCCAGCCCAACAAAAGAGCAAATTGTGAATTTTTTTGGAGGGCAAATCAAAAAGCTTTGAAGTGAAATGTAGCCGAGGAACCCAAAAATGTACAAACTTCCTCTTGCCATACACGAATTGTCCAGGAAAAGTTTCTGATTGCCTTGAGAGTCCTTGCAAAAAATAAGGAGCAGATTAATTTTCCAACAGTTCCTCGCTGCAAGTAATTAACTGTGAATAATTTATGATCAAAATCTTGCCTTACACTTTCAAACCTTGCCTTGCGCTCTTCGTTTTCCATCACAACCTGCTAATCCCAGGAGAGGGGAATTGCTGCGTGTCCACATTTCCATCATGGCAACACCAAATCTCAGTATCACAGAATCTTCTAGGTTGGAAGGGACCTTAAAGATCATCTTGTCCAACCCATGCCATCTCAATTCCATGCCAGTCCTGCAATGGGAAGGTCCCATCCCCAATATCCTACCCAAGTTCAGAGGAGCTTCTTGGAGGACAAAGATGATGGTAAATAAACATGATGAGTATTGGAATTATGGGCTGGAAGAAAAGGCTTAAATATGGGTCTGAGACAAACGAGGTGCTGGGAGAATGGGAGCTAGTGGTTTTTACCTGTCTTCTGTCCTACCAGCAAAGGCAATGTCAGAGACAAGAAGTCACACACTCAAAAACAGTCTTGCTCAGCAAAAATTTAACCATCAGCCACGTTTTTCCATCCAAACCTGACAACTGCAGTCCTTCACCAATTTCTCAGTCGGTGCAAGTGCTGCAAAGTGCAAATCAGACCAACGCTCGTGCAAAACCCACCCACAACCTCAATGTCAACTCAGCAAAGATCCCACCACAAACAATCCAATGACCTTTTGCAACCATTGATGCAGCCCATACACACCCCACAAGCAACATTGCAATTTTTAATAATGCCTTTTTAGGGGTGTTTATTTTGCAAATTGAAGCCCACAGACCTCATGCAAATCTCCCAAGACCTGCACGAGTAAATGCGCTGGGGAAACACAAATGGAAACCTGCTTTTTGGTGAGTTTCCAGAAATTGGGCTAAAACCAGCAGACCTAACCCAACTGCAGAAACATGGGCAAGATGTGCATGGGAGTGTGCAAAGATCTCCCCACCCGTGGGAAGCCCCAAAACCAGAGCAATGCCACAGCACACCTAATAAAACGTTCTCCTCCCTTAAATCTGCCTTGTTTCTTGCTGTATCCTTCTAACATGCTTGCAAATTTTCCCTTTGGGAGAAGGAAAAAAATCCCTCTGGAGCCGGCTGTTTTCCTCTTTCCCATATGGCAGATAAATCAGACCTCCCAACTCGCTGACTTTCCACTTCGCATCCCTCCCTTGCAGCTCTCTGGCTCCTCCCGGTCTTACTATCCCCCTGAATTTCCTTTTAAAATGCAAAATTCCCAATGAGAAATAACACTACAAACCAGAAGACAAAAAGAAGGTTTTCCTTGAGGAATGCCAGGCTTCCTGGTATTGACAGAGAGTTGCCCCCGTCCAAGGCCTGAGCCAAGACACCAAAGATTGTGATGTGAGCTACAAGATTAATTGCCCCAATTTAAATATCTTTCATTTGCCCATTTGAAAGCAATTTTTTTTACCGTATTTCCAGCCTCAATGACAAAAGAGAGGTTTGAGATGTGATGCGATGATTTATTCAAGCTCTGGCTAGCTAAGGAGTTACAAATAGTGTTGAAATCCTTTAACTACACTTAATTACACTGTCTTCTCCGTTTACACTGAATGGTAGACCCTAAGGTATGTTCAGCCTGGTCTGAACTCAACACAGGGAGGAAACTGGGGACAAAAAAAGGTCTGGGGAGCGTTTATGGTGTAAGACAGATGTGCCAAATCGTTTTTGCAACAATTTTTGCACAGTGGCAAAACCTGGCCTCTGAAGAGTCTCTGTGGACGTAGGGGCTTCAGGAGGAGGAAAGCTGAAATGGCTTTGTGCCTGGAAAATGGGGGAACACAAACAAAATGGAAGAAGCCAAGGGGAACTAAGTTATTTCTCAGAAGAGGTCTTCAGGACAAGTAATTTCTATCATTAACCACTTAGAGCAATGCCAGCCTTCTGTTCCAGAAGGCATCCAGGGGGGTGCCCACCATCATGTCTTCCTGTGCCTTTAGTGAGAGGTGTCTGGATCTTGTTGGCCCAATTTGCCAAATAGGTTGGGTTTGAACCTCCTTCTGGAGATACTTTCCCGGCCAGGCTATGCTTGTGTCCTCCACAGACATGTGCTTGTGTCCTCCATGGGCTCAGTTTCTTCTAAAGCAGACAGCCCCATCTGCCCAAAGAACATTGCAGGGCATCAAGCCTTTCCACACAACGTCTGGGCAGCTCCCATCAAAATACTGATGGGAAGGAGGATATCAAGGCTCCCAAAAAAGAGGTTCTTGTGGTGACCCCAAGCTCCCACAAACCCACCAGAGAAGTGATTTCAAGGTGAGCCCAACCTGCGACTATTAGAAACAGGGCAAAACCAGCCTAAGGAAAAATTCAGCCGCCTCATCACATCCTTAGTCCTGGGGTTTTTTTGGTCGAGGGAAGGTCACCACCAAGAATCAGGGCTGAAAGGGCAGCCTGGGGGAAATAATCCTGTCATTATTGGCTGCTGTTTATTAAGGGGACTTTCAGAGGAGGCAAGACCTAAAGAAAAGGCTCAAAGAAAAGATATTCTGCTGTGCCATGGACTGAATGAAGCTTTTGGTTCTTCCCCTGAGATGTTCCCACCCTAAACATCAACAGTTTAGGAATAAATCAGGCACTTTTTCAGGATATTTGCACAAATTGAAGGCAGCACCTCTGTTTTCAGCGACCAAAGATTTCTCTTTGCTCCTTTAGGAGGAAAGTTGCAGCCAACAGGGTTTTATTTTTTTTGTCACCTGCCGGGTGCCTACGGTTTTGGCACAGATCAAGCACATTTGTCACTCTGTCAAGCCCTAATTTTAGCAATTGGGGTTTACTAAAGGACTGCGAGACCCTTGGTTTCATGTACATCTTATTTTAAGCTCCGCATTTCAGTTATTTTTAGCTGGTGACCATTTCTCCACATCCTACTGATGTGCCAAAATTTTGCACTGATAACAGTCCATGTTTCGGGTTATTTTTATAAAAATATATCTGTGTTTTCCTCCAGGCTGGCCATGGCTTGTAGGGCTCATAACAAGATGTTTGCAATACTTCAGCTTTAAAGCAAAAATCCCTGCACAGCCTGATTTCTAAAAAAAACCAAAAGAAAACGCAGCAAAAAGGTATAATTCCTCCCTAAATGCTCACTGCTTTTAGGGAAGGGGTGATATAATTTGGGTGTACCAGGAAAGAGCAGAAATTGCCCCAAATAAAGCCCCACTGAGGTCACAACTCGCCACATCCCACTCGATTAGTATACATAATTGCACAATTAATATATATAATTGATTAATTAATATAAAGCGAAGCAGCCTTACCGTTTGGGGGGTGCTTGGGGAGCCGCTGCCCTGCAAGCGTCCTCCTGCTGCACCAAAACCAAGATTTTCTGGGTAGGGATCACAACCTGGGAAAGCAAAGGATGAAATATTTGAATAGAGAAAGAAAATGATGAAACGAGAAGGTGAAATACTAAGCAGGGGATGAAGCTTTCTGCACCAGGGAGGGTCTTTCAGTGTTGTCAGCAAAGCCATGGTGGGCAAGTCTGCTCTTAATGCATTTTTTTTTTTGCAGGACGTGGGGGAAAATAGAAGGAATCAAGGAAAACTGAGGTGGGAATATTCCCTTGGAGGTGAAAGCAGGGCTGATGGCCAAGATAGATCCCAGGATTTTGCCCAGGAAGGTTTGAACACCTCCAAGGAAGGACAAAAAATAAATCAGATTTTTAAAGGTCGAACCGAGATATGTCCAGCAAATGAAGGCGTGCTCGTTGCCAGTCTGTCCACAAAGGATGAAGTCCTGTCCTTTTCAGCTCCTGGGAGGTTGCAAATCCCCAGCACAGGCTCTCACTGAGGGTTAGTGGTACAATTCGGGTCTGAAAAGGAGAAAAAAGGGAAAAAGCAATGAAACAGCCTTGCCGTTGGCCATGCCCCCATTTCGCGCTGGCTGTCACCATCCCCCTGGTTAATTATAATCTTCACTTGAGTGTAAATGTGCTTTTACACTCAGGCTTAGAAGGCGCGAACTAGGGAAGAGCCATTAATTCAAAAACAGGGGAGCTCCCAGCCGTTATTTAATAAGGAGAAGTCTACACAGATGTTAGAGATGGTCCTGCATCTACCAAGGAACTGGCCTAAACAGAAGCTGAGGTTGGGATTTCTAGACTCATCTAAGAAGATCCAGTAGAAAAATGAAATGGGCTGAGCCAGGATCAGCATGGACATGGGGGTGGTTTTTGTTCAACTGCAAAAAAACGAATAAAAGAAATAAAATCCCCCAGATCTCTGAATGTACACCACCCTTAGTGAGCCCCTCAGATCTCCAACATACATTTGACGAATGTCCCTCGATATACATCACCTCCAGATATTATCTCTACGTTAGATGATAAACATCACCTGAGACTTCCAATGTATGTCTGATATATGTCCCTTGATACACATAATCTCTGTCGAGCTCCTCAGATCTTCAGTATACATCTGATGTATCTACCTTGATATAAATCACCTCTAAACAGCTCCTCACCAATATACATCTGACATACATCTCTGATATATGTCACTTGACTGGAGCTCCTCAAATCTCCGTTATGTATCTCATACATCTAGCATGATAGACATCACCTCTAGAGAGCTCCTCAGATCTTCAATATACATCTGATATATCTACCTCGATATATATAACCTGGTACAGAGCTCCTCAAATTGCTGATATATGTCCAGTATATATATACACCTTGATCTGCTGAGCTGCACAGATTCTAAAGTGCATCTGATATATGCACCTCTAGATATACATCACCTCTAGGGAGCTCTTCAGATCTTCAGTATACATCTGATGTATTTACCACGATACACACCACCTCCAGAGAGCTTCTCAGATCACCAAGGCACACCCGAGGGATGCACATCTGCTATACATCAGCTGCAGAGAGCTATGCCTCACATGGTGAAGCTGTATGGGAGAACCCTGAGAACCATTTCCCCTGGTTTTAATTTAATCCCAAACTCCTTCAAAAACAACACTCCCATTTTGTGACCTTACATCCTGTATCCATCACAGCAGCCAGGAGTACGGATCCAAAAGACAGAGGAAGCTTGCATTGAAAGTGTCATTTCTGGAAACCTGGACATCACTGACACCATTGACCAAGGAAAGATATGGATGCAATTGGGTGATTTCAGGGAAAAATGGGGCAGAAACCCTCAAACATGGAAAACTCAGTTAAAGGGGTGAAAAGTCAAGATGGCCCTTGACTCCTTGGGCATGTAGATGCAACTGAGAGGCTTAGAGACCTAATCTGGGCTCAGAAGGGGATTGAGTCCAAAACTCTTCACTGCAACAGCAGCTGAAATATCCTTACAGATATTTATGACAAGGAATAAAAAAACCAACCTACAGGCTCATGCCTTAGAAGAGCACGCACAGGCTGATGCCAAATACGCACTGAGGACCAGGGGCTTGCTTTGCATTGGATTTATCCTGACAACATGATGAAAAAGCTCATGTTTTGCAGCAATCCTTCATCCCTGTAAAGACTTTTTTCCATCTTGTGAGAGAGACTTTTGTCATCTGGGCTCGCCATGTGAACAAAACATGAGGAGTGGAGGAAAAGGAGGAGATAAATAACGCTCTGCCAGTGCTAAAAGAGCTCTGATATACTGGTTTTCATCCTTGGAGGTGATCGGGGCTGAGGTCTCGGATGCTGTATGCAGGCAGGACAAAAATACGGGCTTGTGCAGCTCTTGCACAGAAGATGCCTTTTTTGTCCCTGTCATGAAGAGCACCAAGAGCCAACCCCACTGGGGACACCTCCCTGAATACCCTTGTGGAGGGAGATAAGTCTTTTTGAGCCAAAGCACACTTTCAGTGACTTCAAAAGGCATCCTTTGAAGTTTAAGCAGAGGCCTTTGAAGTCGTCCCAACGCAAAAGGGAATGGAGGAGATGCCTCCTTCAAGACGTTCCACCACAGGCAATGCAAGCCAGCAAGATACACGGTGTCCCGGGCACTCATGGTTGCATGGAGCAGCTGCCAAGGGGCATAAATGAGACACCATTTACGACAAACTATCAATCCCCCAAAATGCCTTAAATCCTGATCTACTTGACCTGAATAACAACCAACCACGGAGATGGGAACCTGGCATCCTGGGACCTCAGCCTGTACTCAGGATGGAAAAAGCCAAGGGCATCCATGAAAATAAAGATTTAATTAAGTGTAAGGGAATGCTAACAAAGCTGACATTTACCAAAAAAAAAAAAAAAAATCCAGGATTTTTGCAAATGCAGGATTTCAAAGCAAGGCGGCTTTTCCCACTGTGTCGCCTCATTTCCAACGTGAGCAGATCATGATTCATCCAACCTCATCATATCAATGCTGTTTAATTGTGACTATGATTTTTTTATACATTTAATGCCAGCTCCTCTCACTTAAATGGACACAACAAGTGGTGAAATCCCTAATAACGTTGCTGGATTTTGCTGAATTATTTTTATACCCCCCATTATCCCCAGGTGTCCATCACAAGCTCTAATGGCCCCCAAACTCTACACCCATGGGGAAAACCAAAGAAACCCTGTACATGTGAAAAATAGTATAAATGGAGAAATCAAAGCTCAAATTTCAGTTTAATTCTTCAAGGAGCTCCAAGGCGCAATCACAACTCTCCAAGTGCTTTAGTGACACCTGCTCCATCTGCAATGAGGACCATGGCAATAAAAAACTTTGATTTGTTGGGGGTTTTCCCCTCCATGGTGGAAATTCCGCAGCATCTCCAGCCTCTGAGCAAGGGCTGGGGCTGGATGTTGCGGATGCTCGAAGGTGCGAAGAGCAATACGGTATTTTCAGCCTTCCACCTCCCCAGTCCTGTAAGTTAAACCTGGTGATGCACTAACCCCATCCTTGTTCAAAGAGAGTGAAAAGATTTAAGACATGCCCACACCCCCCCCATATTTCTGTATTTCTGCAAAAGCAAAGCAGTTTTGCCTCAAAGCACAGTCCACGAGTCTACCGGTGGAGCCCTGCTATAGGCGATTTGCGCTATGCAAAGGGGGCACGTATGGAAATATCAGACATCCCCCACCCCTGGATGCACACATGTGCACACACCTGGGCCTGGGGAACAAAAGCAGCCTCGCTATACCACGCCGATAAAGAATCGAAAGGCAAAGTGCCCCGCAGAAGTGGCACCACACTGTTCAGCCTCGGGCGAGACGGAGGAAAATTTGGTACCCATGAGGTCTGGAACAGTGGGATTAATAACACATCAATTTTAATGCAGGGGGGGTTGTGAGTCTTTTTTTCCCTTTTCCTTTTTTTTTTTTTTTTCCTGCTTCATAAACAGCAAAGTGAATGTTTGAGCATCTCGGTGGGGGGTTAATGAGGACTCTGATTAGTTATTCAGATTTGCCGATGCTGCTTCCATCCATCTGAGGATGAGGGAATAATGGGAAAGGGTTTGCAGAGAAAGCTCTTAAAGACGACCTACTTGGCTTTCGCAGCTCAGGCAGATGCAGGTTTTGGGGGGCTCATGCCCCAGGGGTCCCCAAAACCAAAACTGTAGTGCCAGCTTTGGGGTGGAAATGCCCATCGTTTGGGGGAGCTGCTGCGTTTTGGGCCACACTGATTCCTGTAAAGGCTCAAGGGAAAATATTTGGATTTGTGGGGGTTTTCACATGAAAAACAAATTCTTGGATGCTTTTAATAAAATTTGTATGCAATGATGCTCAGAGCTACATGACCAAAAATGATGGATGCATGGATGCAAGGATGCACAGATGCAAGGATGCATGGATGCAAAGATACGTGGATGCAAGGAAGGTTGGACCATCACTAAGCCACCACTGGTGTGCAACAGTGTGACATTGAGGGGCTGGAGTGGGTCCAGAGAAGGGCAACAGAGCTGGTGAGGGGTCTGGAGAACAAGTCTTACAAGGAGTGGCAGAGGGAGCTGGGGGTGTTCAGCCTGGAGAAAAGGAGGCCAAGGGGAGACCTTCTCACTCTCTCCAACTCCCTGAAAGGGTGTAGCCGGGGGCGTCAGTCTCTTCTCCCAAGTCACAGGCAATGGGACAAGGGGAAATGGCCTCAAGCAGTGCCAGGGGAGGTTCAGATTGGATATCAGGAAAAATTTCTTCACGGAAAGGGTTATTAAGCATTGGAATGGGCTGCCCAGGGAAAGGGTTGAGGCACCATCCCTGGAGGTATTCAAAAGACGAGTTGACATAGTGCTGGGGGACATGGTTTAGTGATGGGTTGAGGTTTGTTTGTTGTTTTTTTTATCAAAGTTAGGTTGATGGTTGGACTAGATGATCTTAAAGGTCCCTTCCCACCTAGACAATTCTATGATTCTATGACATCTTCCACTGTTGCAGTATTTTACACATCCCATAAAGTCTACTAGAATGCATTATGTCCTTGCGCAAAAGCAAGGAGCTCACCTCTTTGCTATTTAGCCCAAAATTAATATAAGCAGGTTAAGCGGACCCTCTGCTGGAGCGTTTTGGGGTTTATTTCCAGATTTGGGCTTTTGTTCTTCACCTGCATTAAAAAAAAAAAAAAGGCAACCTGAGAAAATAGATGGTAAAATAGTGCTGCAAAAAGGCTTAAAGGATGGAGCCAGAGCAGCATTTCACGGCACTGTAAAAGGGACTTGTCAAAAAAGAAAGGCATTATTTTAGGATTCACTTTAGGATTCATTATTTCTTCATCAAGAAGAACTATCTTAAGGATGGATGAGGTGGTGACAGCATGCTCTCACAGGGAATTCATCCCAGTGATGTATGTCAGCGCTTTATTTCTAGTTGGGTCTAGTGGCCCAGTTGGGTCTTGCTTTGAGCATCACTCAACAGGGGGTTTTGGGGGGATAAACTCCCTG